GTTTTAGGACACAAGACTTATCTGAAAATGAGAGCAGCTTCTACTTACCTGCCTGCTGGCCTTGTCAGATGACATTGGCAAAACAAGTGGGTCATTGACTTGTTTCTGTCAGTGCTGATCTGTCACACCTGGGAAGTTACCAGCTTTCACAGCCCTCCACTTGGAAGACTGATAATTTGGTAGTATTTTTTTCCTCAAATATGAATGGAAATAGTAGTATTTAATTCCCGTGTGCAAGATTTTGATGGCATCTGTCTTGGCCTTTTACAATTTCATTTTGAGAAGTTAACATTTCAAATAAATGGCATACTTGTAAGTGTGTAGGTATTGCCTAGACATTTTCCTGTATATAAGTTGTACAAGTGCTTTACATTGTACAGTAAAAGAAAGTCCCACATTTCAGTGCAATTAACATTTTCGGTCTTTTGGCCCTCAATATTACTAGATGTTGAACATGGCTCTCAAACACTTCTATAATATGTTTTTGAGAAATCTTCTAAAAGGAGGTTGCAGAGAATTTTTTATTATTACAGTTGCTGCCAACAAAACAATGGTTGCCCTTCGCTGTGGAATCTGTCAAATCAAAGGAGAGGAAGGTGCTGTCCTGCTCTATGGTAACTTGTGTGAGCAGCAGTGTGAGCGGAATCTCAGCTGACCACACAAGATGGCATTTCAGCAATCACAAAACATTCACTATTTTCTAATTACAGCTAGCCCGTTCTTAGCAGGCTGATGTTTTTAATGAGAAGTTATTCGCTAGGAATTTCCTTTTTTTTTTTTTTTTTTTAATGATGTTTGGAAGTGAGACAGTGCCCTCTGCTGGGCACAGGCTGTCCAGCAGTACTTTGCCAAGAGCCCCAAATGTTGATAAGTTGTGAAAATGAACACAAAATATATATTGTTCTGCTCGAGATATTTGCTGGTTTCAAGGAAAAACACCTTTTTGTGGTCTCTTCTTGCATTCTGCTCTACTTGGAAGCATACTGTGCGACAAAAACGAGTCTGAGTTTGGATGGCAAAGAGCTTTTTACTAATTAAATTTGAACCCAGTTGGCTTGAACTGAGTGTGATTTTATCACAGGGAGCAGCAGGAGCATGTAGTGCTATACATTCAAATTTTTACAAAAATAAACTCAATACTGTAAGAGCATATTGATCAGAAAAAAAGTTTCTGTTTTTCTGTGTAGAGAAAAACACAGTTGAATTTACTTCTTATGTGTTCTCTTGCATGTCTTTGGTGCATTATTTCACAGATTTAAAAATTTATAATTATACTGAGAAGTCAAAAGTGTTATTTTTCTCTTTAGGCTTTCTTTAAGTTGTTTTGCTTTTCTGTTTGTTGTTTTGAGGGGATGCCAATAAAATTAGCAACACTGTAAGTTTCACTTAATAATTCTATTCTGATGCCTTTGGATTTTTCCAGGGTCCATTAAAAAATACAAAGCAAAACAAAAAACCACCACAAACAAACCAAAACAAAGCATTTAACTCAGGATATAACTTGAATTTACATCTTACAGCAAAGGGGACAGAAATAGATGAATTTCCCTAGTAATTTAATTGAAAACGTTTAGTAAATTTCAAATGTGAAATTAAAATCCTTCAAAAACAGTCTAGGAAACTGTAGTAATCCAGCATTTACAGAAAAGTTTAAAGTAATGGCATAGAAAGCATTATATATCCTTTCATGAAACTTGTATGACTTTCAGATCTCTCTCCTCTCCTTTTCTCAGTGCAGAAAAGACATGGAGAGAAATAGTTGTCTAAGGTTAACTGTGAGGGATTTCTATTAATTGATTGACAGGATTTTTTATACCTTAGCTTAAAGATGAAGCAAAGCAGTTCTTGTATTTATTATATGTTTCATGTTTCTACAAATCTGCAGATGTCCATGCAGAGCAGCTGCTTGGTGCCACAATAGAGATTGTGTCTGCTTACTTCAAAGCTGAATTTTGAGGGAAAAACACAGCCCCTCCTACAGCATTCAATCACTCTCATGGTGGCAGCTCTGAGTATAAATCAAGATGTGGTCCCAAAGTACTGTGTCCATTCCTAGCATGGCCCTGCAGTCAGGTTTTATTTACATGTGCCTGCAGCTGGAAGCCTCTTTGCTTCTCCAAGGGAGCTCCATGCCCTCTGCCCAGAGCAGTGAGTCCTGGATAACAGAGCCCCTTATTAATGGTCACAGTTGGTCATTAGCTGGTCACTGAATCTTCCTTGATGGCCAGCTAATGAACATCCCACTGGTTTATTGTGAAGATTGGTCAAGATAGACAGAACAGGTAATTTATAGCTGAAGCCCCAGCATGATAATGGCCTTCCCTGAGTACCTGCAATCAACACAGTGCTGCTAAGTGGCATTGCATTCTTCCTAATTTATTTCTCCCTTGCAACTATTTCACGTTGAATGGAGACCAGATTCTACACTTAAAGATATGTTTGCATGTTTTATTTGGGGAGAAAATTTCTTTAAGAATTTTATACAGAAAACAACCTTAATCTTAAAAACTCTCTGGTTTTGTTAAGTTTTGCCCTTATCATAAGATGTTTATTTTAAAAAAAACAAATCTATGGTCATAACATTCTTCTATAAAAGGCTCAGAAGCCCAGCCAGAGCAAAAATCATCTCTCAGGGGTACCTGTTAGCTGCAGGAGCCTGGAGAGCTTTGATGGTTCTGCACCTGTGGTGTGTAATCTCTGTGAATCGTGGATAAATTGGCCAGAAGTTACAGCCTCTCTAACTGTGATCTTGCCAGCCCTTAAAAGCTATAAAGTTTCAACCAAGCCTTGGCTTGGTAGGAAAGCCCTGGAAAAAGCCCAAGAAGTGGCAGTGATGCATTAGGTAGCACTCTGAGTCTGGTGGATAATGCCATAGGGGTTGTCCAATTATCACAGAAACCTTCTTTGGCTTTTCATGTGCAGGTACCTTCTCCCATTTCAAGACTGCATGGATTCCACTGTGGCCAAGATTTTCATAATTCTTTAAGGTTTTATATTTTCATTTTCACAGGTTCAAGCATCATAATTATGATGCAAAACCAAAACAAAAGCAAATTTCAAAACCAAACGACCCCACATTCCACTTGGTATAAATCTTCAATGCAACTGTTATAAGAAAACAGGTTTGCATGGCAAGGAACCAAGAAATTCATCATGTTCCACTACAGATTTTCATGCACTTGACCCACAATACGTCCCCATGCTCATCTCATTCCCTTCAAATGGCTTCAAGATCCCAAAAATCTTTCTCCTGGTGGTTCCAAATTGCACTTCTTGAGCCATGAAGAGATTGAGAAATTGACTTTCCAAGGAGGTGTCCTGACCATGGCTCCCTGGTGTTTGAAAACAGGAGCTATGCTTGTCTTTAGAAAGAGAGGTTTTGCCTTCTCTCAAGAGACTCATCTTATATTTGGCAGCTTTGTTCTATTAAAATTTCTCATTATTCAGAGATTCCATTTCATACTTTTTGATTATAAAGGAAACGCTTCTCTCCATGCTAGTTTCAAGTACTGGAATACTCCTGTCTCTTTAGCAAGCATTGCTTGTAAAAGGTATGGTAGCAACCAAACCTTCCTGAAATGACTAAAAGAAAATGAGATCCTAAAGTTCCAAAACACATTGTGAGAGTAGCACAAATGGTATTTGCCTTGATGTTGCACATTTGGAACAAAAACATTTGATTCTGTACCTTTCATGCCATGAATGTGAGAGTTCAAGTCAGTCATTTATAAGACATTTATTGTCTTAGAAGTGTTTATCTATTAGTCATTTATAAGACATTTATTTAATAATTACTTGTCTTGTTACACAGAATCCTGCATTTGTTTTCATGCTAAAAAGTAAATATGAAATTCAAATATTAATGTATGTTTGAGAAAGACTAGGCCTGACCCAGAACAGTGTATTTTTGAGGAAATTAATTGAACCCAGATGGGCTTAAGGCATCTTGGTACAGATGCAGTAGTGGTAAAAACACTTTTCTCTTATTTTTTGTCCAGGAGCTGTGGTCTGTGTTAGCTTTAAAGTCCAAAAATTAAAAACTGAAAGTGTCAATAAAATGTTAATTTGGTCTTAGCAGTAATATAAACTCCATGGAAATATTCTCTTCATGAGGGGAAGAGACCTCTTATTAAATCCCAACATTTCCTTAAGTTACTGTGCAATTATCCCCTAAAGGAATGCGTATGGCAGTTTAGAAGAGTTGCTGCATGTTGAGACAAATCTCTTTACAGCAGCCAATGGGAGATCTTCGGCTGTGTCTGTCCTCTTGCTTTATCAAGTCTTTCCAACACACAAAAAGTGTGCATATTGCCATTTCAATCCCTACATGTGCTCCAGGTAAAGCCCAAAGCCAAGTGGTACAAACAGTGTAAGGTTCTGTATGAAAATAAACAAAGCGAAGGCATATTAGTTTTTTAAATCCTCATTATAATGATTAAATAAGTATACTGTGCATATATATGAAATTTCTGCTCCCTGCTGCATGCTCTGCTAATACTTCTTCCCATTCTAATGGCTTATAATGTTCAGAATTAGTTCACAGTAGCTTTTTTCAAACTTTCCTGCTAAAGTATAGCAATGAGCACACATCCTTCTACCAGAAACCCCTTGGGAATGGAACTCAACAGGAATATACCAGCCTCTTTGCAGAAACCATTGCAAGGCTGAACTAACACAGATGTAATTGCACGTCTATTTTACCTAACTTTTATCTTTTTCAGAGAAAAAAAAATAGTTAACTCCTTTTTAAAAGACGTAATCTCTGATATCCTTACCAAACAGAAAATGTATTAAAAAATTAATCCTGTTTTTACATATAATTTAATTTCATTTTCATTGCATTTATTTTCAGAAAATGTATTGTGTCAAGAGAAGCAGATAGTCTTGGAAACTTTCAACAGCAGCTGGAAATTGAGGAGCCCTCTGAATATTATGTTTTTTTAAAAGCAACTGATTTTAAGTTTTGATATAAACATATTTTCTTACATTTTTTGCAACAGGTGGTTCTGCTAATCTAACCTGCAGAGCTTTCTTTGGATACAGTGGAGATGTCAGTCCTTTAATCTACTGGATGAAAGGGGAGAAGTTTATTGAAGATTTGGATGATAATCGAGTCTGGGAAAGTGACATTAGGTAAAAGAAAAAGGTTTTTTCCTTTTTTTCTCTATATTTTTTTATAGTTAATGTTATACTTTTAATCACAGACTAACCAAGCAGAATATTGGGTCTGACGCTTTTTTTTTTTTGCAACATCATCCATTTGCTTTTTGACTTCACCCGTAGAGAACAGAAAAATTCCCTCCTCAGCCAAATCTGATGTTAGAGACTTGCAATAGCAAAATAGCTACCCAAAAAGAGCTATAATGTTTACCAGGTGGAATTTACCTTTTTCAAAATGTGTGCTGGAATTTACCTTTTTCAAAATGTGGCAATCTACAAAAACACAAGGACACTTAGTAAGATGAAATAAAGAAAAATTAATATCTTCAGAAAATCATCTTAAAAAGTATTTTCAAACATTAAACCTTAAATAAATGGTGAAGTTTGACTTCCCTTTTGGAATGTTTTGATTTCTTCTTTAAAAAAGCCTGAGTTTCCTGGGATGTTATCCGGCTTATGAGAGCCAAACATCCTGTTATGTGGGCTGCTTATATCTGCTGAAATACTTGTTTTGGAGAGGATCTGGTAATTCATGCCATATACTTCTACTGCTCCTAAAAGTGCTGGCCCATTTAGAAATTAAGGACAAATGTGCATTCGTATTGAGAATTACATGCTTGACATAGCATACTAAATCCTATCCAATATGAAATATCTGCTTGGATCTGAAGAGATTCCTTATTAATTTATAACTCTGTATGTGTGAATATCACTGTTTCTATGTATCACAGAAATTAAAACTCGGAAATTCAGGCAAATCTCAGTGTGCATGTCATGGTTTAACCTCAGCCAGCAAGTTCCTCACAGCCACTGACTCACTCCCCTGTTAACCCCCTCAGGTGGGGAGAAGCACCAGAATAGAACTTGTGGGTTGAGATAAAAATAGTTTAATAATCAAGACAAAATAAGATATTATAATTGCAGCTATAATATTAATTATAATAGTAAACATATATTAATAATAATTGTAATGAAAATGAGACATACAGGAATAGAACCCAAGAAAAAGAAATTATGTACAATATAGTCACAATTAGAAAAATCAAGTAGACCTCAGTGACCTTCAAAGTCATGATCCCCAGACATAGGCAAGATGTATTTTATCCCAGAGTACTTCAAGTTTATTCTACAAAAGTCAAGATCAATACATTAAATGGCTTGTGACAATAAGTTCAGCTATATTTTGTGTTTAAAACTTTCCCAAGTCCTTCATCCAGTGACTTGGCTAGCTGATGACTGACAAAAAAGTGACAATAAACCTGTTACAACTCTCTTGTTTTGTGGAGGGAGGAGTAGAAAAGCTCATTTCCATTTCATTTGTCAGGTCTGCAATCATTTGTCATTTCCTTTCCTGAGTTCATGAAACCACTGATGGTCTTGTTAAGAGGGAAAGAAAATAATGGGAAGACAGGAGGAGTCTTACATAGAAAGCTTTTTATTTATAATCTCTATGAGCTAGCAGCACCTGGTGTACCAGTTCTTCCTACTGTTTGGTAAAACATTATAAAATTTTGTCATCTATTCCAGAAATTATTTTTTCAACCATGGCATGAACACATTGTTCCTGAGTGGCATGTTGAAACGCCTCAGAAAAAGGACAAATATTGTGTTTGGCCCAGACTCCTGGTGTGAGTCTAAAAGCCCAGAATAACTGTTTTCAGTTTTCTCCCTTCTACCATTCCAAGACTTCATGGATCAGAGTCTCCATCATAGTGTGCAATGATATATTATCCATGTGCATATCATTCTTCTTTAAAAAGACAATGAGCTGCAGCTCTCATTAACATTTACAAAGCCAAACCTCCTCATTAGGAGTGAGGAAGAAAAGGGCATGATATAATTAAATTAAGATTGCATCAAACCATAACCAAATTTGAAGCCAGAGAGTTGTGAGTTATAAGTAGCATTGTTATGTCATGATTATCTAAAGCTTCACTGTGGGACAAGCAGAATAGCAGCTACGGTTGTTTTTTCCTCAGGGTTCTCAAGGAACATCTTGGGGAACAGGAGGTTTCCATCTCATTGATTCTTGACTCAGTTGAAGAGGCAGACCTGGGAAATTATTCCTGCTACGTCGAGAATGGGAACGGACGCCGCCATGCCAGTATTCTTCTACACAAAAGGGGTAAATATGCAGCTTTTCTCCATAAAGGGTAAAGTGTAGGGGTGGTCAGTTTGTAGAGATTCCCTCTGATGCAAGCTTGAATTTTAGCTCCCTAAGAATTAATAGTCAATGGTTATTTTTCCCGAAGGAATTTGTACAACTTGCAAAATAAAAGAGGAAGGATGTTGTTAATAATGGCTGTAATTGGAAAAAAAATACAGTAACCCCTTTTAACTAGATCTTTATAAAAGATTCAAATAATAATTCATTCACTTTAAAATTTATGAAGGCTCATGAGAGAAAGAATAGTAGGAAACCACAGGTGATACAACTATAGTACTTTTCTGTAAGAAAAAGAAATTAAATTTTAGGAAAACCAAAAAAAACCACCTTCTACATCTCTCAGAAATGCCACCTAAACCCCAAGCCAGGGGGGTTCCTGCATAGCCTGACATGGACATTTTCCTTCCAACACTTTTGTTTTACATCAACATTTCTGAAGTGAAACATCATGACAGAAGCTCCTAAGAACCCCCCTGTTTCCTCTCACCACTCACATCCCATGATCCCAGCCTGCCTAATGGGATCTCCCACCGAGATAATTACAGGGAGATGGAAAATCTCCTGCAAATCAAAGCTCCCAGACACATTTTGTCCACTTTACCTCCCAGAGGGGGCTCCACATCCCTGGGACTGACACTCCCTACTCTCATGAAGCTTCCTGTTGATTTCAGAAAGCAGAGAATAAGCAGGAGCAGTGTCGGCATTTTGCTGACATTCCTGTGCTTTTTTTAGATTGTTTTTAAAAGTGAGGAAACCAGGATCTTACTGTCGTGCTGAAGTACTTGTGGCATCTCAGTTTATATCAGAGCAGTGGTATCTTCCCTAAATTTAGTTTTGTAGTATGCAAAGTCTGTCTAAGCTTATAAAGAAACCATAAATCAAGAGAGTGTGCCCAATTTATTTAAAAGTATTGTTGGGTACCTCCAATTGCTTGAATAGAACTTCATTTGTCGCCATCTTTCTAAACTGTTCTCTTGCTTCTTAAAAAGATGCAGATGTGAATTACCAGATGTTCAGCTTAGCCTGGCATTTGTCATATTTTCTTGAATTTTCTGAGATGAGGAATTAACTTCTTAAGTAGTTGAACCTCAACAATATACCAGCTAGTAGTCATATACTCTGGTTCAGAGGCATTTGAACCCAAAGCAAGAACTTAACCCAAAAAACACTGAAATCCAACAACTTGCTCTAAGCAATCAAATTACTTGATGGAATACTGAAAATAAAAAAATTGAAAGCTCACATTACTTTAAAAGCAATACTTATTTAACTGACACCTATTAAGTCACATGCTGATACTTAGTCCTTATTTACTCTTCCATACAAGCAGTAGCTCCAAGACTGAAAATATGTAAGTCTTCTCTGTTCTGTGACAACCAGATCTCTAATTTAACTTTGTGCATGCATGAATTTTGCAAGAATCTACTTTCCTTGCTCCCTTTCTTAGAGAACTAAGTCAGACATACTAAAGTATGTGGCCTCATGATAACATGCTTAAGAGGAAGTAATCTCAATATTTAATTGCCCTTATAAATAGTAAAAGGACAAAAATAGCAGAAAAACTCCCAAAAATATTTTTTTCCTCTTTAAGTAAGGCTGAATCTGAAATAGATCAGGAAGCAAAATCTGTTTTGCCCTCGAAAGACAAGAGGTGCCAGATACAAGCCCTCTACACATTTTGCATGTTGACTAGCATTTCAGTGAAATGATAAATTAAGCATGGCAGATAAAAATTTGAGCAAGTCTCTCAGGTCTCCTAGGAAGAGGAGGTTTGCACTGCTTTCTTAGTCTCCTGTACATCACCATGACAACCTTTCAGTTTAGGTTTCCTTGTTTAGATCCATATTTAGCCTCTGCTAGGAATGAGTTAGCTGTTTATTAATTTCTGATTTTTTGGCTGACTTAGACCAATTGGGACCTAACGATTAGGTAAATTTGCTTCCTGAACACCAAGATATTTGCAGATGTAGTAGTTTTGGCTGGTTTTCTAGCTAGTGATCCTTTTTTCCAGCAGTATAAGAGTACAAAAATGATGAATCTGGAATGTTCATTGCATACCTGAGAAAGAAATTATAATCCTTCTTCAACTTTCTGTGTGGAACATTATCACCAGGATCAGAAGGGATAGCAAAGCAGAAAACTCTGCTGCTGAATAGAGAGTTCCTGAGAAAATAGGTATTTAGGGCTAAATGCTGCAGTGGGTATTCAGGTACAAAGTTTAAGCCTTTCTAACACCCTTGCAACTGCTGCTTCACCCTGGTCAGTAGAGCCTCTGTACACATAAAAGTCCAGGTGGAGATTTTAGACATACCTACACTTAGGCCCTGAAAGCATAAGAAGCCGACAGTCTAAATCACCAGAAAAAAACCTGGATACATCTTCCTTCATATTCCCCCTGGTCAGCCCCACAGGGACGCACTCTCACCTCACAGAAACCCTGAGCAGGCTCCACCAGAGGCTGGTCCTGGCCCAAACCAGAGCCTGGCACATTCCCCAGGGACAAGGGGCTGCTGCTCTTCCCCTGATGTGGCACTGGAATGGGAAGCCAGGGCCTCTCCTGCCCATGAGCTCATTTCAGGAGAGGAGCAGAGCTCAGTGCCCCTGGATTCCACCACAACCTGTGCAGGAAAAGTGAACCCAATTTCAGCATCCAGCACTGGGAAAAGCTGGGGGCCTGGTACCTCCCTCTGGTGCAAACACCAGTGCTCTGTGTCTCAGGGAGCCCAGCTCTCATTTTCTCCTGAACTACTGCTACTTTTTGACATCAGTGGAGATACCCTATGATCTATGTTTTTCTGCTGCCAGCTAACAATTTTTAGAGTCCTTAATTTTCTCAGATACTCTGCAAAAGGAGCATTTAACTCAAAGCTAAAGGCAGTAGAGTATTTTAAGTATGACAATGACAACGCTGTTTCCTTTCTCTCATTCATTCCAACAAAATTTGTAAAAAATAGGAAAAATCAATCAGAACCCAAAAGATATAACTTTCATCCCTTTCTGCACCTTCTGACCAAATCCTTGTCACTCTTACAATAATCAAGTTATTTTCTCTTTTATGTAGGGAAAAAACCAACCTACTTGTTATAATCTAAGGTTGATTTTGTTACTTACTGGTGGTAGGTGGCATTGATCATCCAGAGCAATTACAGCAATTAATCTTCAGCTAGGTAGAGGAACCTTCTAGAAATCAATTTTGAGAGTGGTACTGACAGCAGCTAAGCAGAAATTTATTAATGACGGACCAGACTGCAGATGATCATCTGCAGACGGGTGGATCACAGATTACAAGTCCATTTTTTCATAAGTTTTTTAATTAAAGAAGAAAAACTTATAGTCTATCAATATAGTAGATTAAAAATCAATGCATAAGGAAAAAGAATACTTTTCTGCAATGTTATGTGTTGATAAGTATGACTTTCATGCAAGATCAAAGTCTCCATATTTTTATCATAGGCTGTGTTGTAAATACAGTTTATTATCTAATTATGTGATTATTTTTTTGAAAGTCCTCTCTGTATGTCTTCAAGTAGAACTCTACAGCAAAAATAATCTCAAATTCTATCTTGGCATTATTCTTTAAGTAGTATGGATATTATTTTAAAGGCTTAATAATATTACTGGCATTTTTCCTGGGACAGACACCAGAACTAAGGTAACATGCTTTCATGCATTTTTAAAAGTATCTACTTCCCTTTCTTCCCATTGTCATCAACACAGCATTATCATCTAATTTCCTACCCTTACCTCTTTTATGGTTTCAGTTTGTTTTTCTCTGTCATAGGTGTTCTCAGTGGGCATATATGAATCTTGTTGACTGTAAGTTAATGAGGGGTAGTAAAAACAAGTTTGGGGTTTTTTCCTGTCAAGAAAAATAAATATTTTCACTGAAATATATTGTTTAGAGAAAGAGTATGTTTAAATTGCCCATGAAAATATATGTTTGAAAAATATGCAAGGTAATATTTCCTGGATGGAATGCATCTTGAGGAATACTACCTTTTTTTAAACTCGTCATTTCTTAATTCATAAACACTATATTAATATTTCCTGTACAATGTAATAGAAAATTTTGAATAGAAAGTAATTCCAAATTATCTTCATATGGTTATTAATGATAACAGAATGGTTGACAAGCACCTTAAATTGCATTCATTCACATAATAGAGAATATCTGGTTTATTACTTACAGACTTGAATGTGTTATATGCATTTTCAGTCAGTTAGACACAATTTCACACAGTGGTAGTGATGAGTGACAATTAAGACTTAAAAGAGAAAAGAAACTAGTTCTTTTCTAACCTCTGCAAAGAAACCCCAGGTGTTATATCTCCTTTCACCAAAAAGCTTCACAATGCTTCTGAAATTTCTGAAAGGAAACTCATCATATGAAATATGAGAACAATGAGTTATATTTCAGCTTCTGCTAGCTGGACCTGAGTATTTGTTCACTGCAGTGAATCTCTGAGTCTCAGTGGAAGCTTAACTGGAAGAACTCCAACCCGCTTGGTCAGTTCCGACCTTACATGAGTCTATCTTCCACTGCATAAAGTATTCAGTTTTTATTCTGCACTGCAGGAAAGGCTTTTCCAAGACCTTCATCAGGTTTTAGAACTGGAATTGAAATTGGATTGGACGGAAATTGATTTTTCATTCACCTATGGCCACTGAAGAAGCCTTCACGTTGTCACTGTGCTCAGCAGTGCAAATGTTCATTCTCCCAAGAGGTTCAGGACACAGGCCCAAAGGTCAAATATCAGCTTCCTTCTTGTCCCAAACCTAACTAAATGTGACTGTCCTTTCACACTCCACCTCATCTAAAATCAGTCAAGGAATAGAATACTAAAGACCTTTGCCTGAAAGTAACTCTTCATAAGACCATTCTTTTAATCAGTCAGGTTTTTCTCATCCTTTAGAAAATTGGACTAAGAGAACTCCAGTAAAACAGTTTGTAAGATTAC